TAGGCCACAGAATATGCCATAAATATAATTAACTATTACCTTGCCAATAAGCACCATCATATAAATAGCTCACCGAGAACTTCAACATATTTTATAGATCTGAGACAAATTACACTTCATCTATCATCACACTACCTTACAGGACTCCAAGATGTTCATCTTGCACGGCTTAGACTCGAATATAAGGAATTCTGGGAGATTGTACTATCTGCTAATGTAGAGGCTAGCAAGAGTAGACTGTAGGGAAAACTATTCACTCAGCCTGAATTACTATGTGGTGGAATGTGTGCACAAACCGAGAATTTAGAGACAAATGTTATCATTTTTGCTCAATAAATGTCTGAATACTTAAAGTGACACAAGCTATCGTCCACTGGATCGTTGTCAGATACATCAAAGGCAAATTAAAACAGTATATAACTACTACTACTACTACTCAGCTTACAGAAGACTGTTGTTGTTGGAGGCCTGGTCGACGACCGGGCCGCGGGGACGCTAAGCCCCGGAAGCACCTCAAGGTAACCTCAAGGTGACCCCATTATAACACTAACCTTCCCTGCAGGAAGACAAAAGCGTCCATAAACTAATTAAACTAAAGTTGCGAAAACGCTGGTCAGCTCCGCCGAAGACTCTGGCGCCATTACCGGAAACGCCAATACCAGCGAAGTCCTTCCGAAAGCTCTTACTAATCCCCTGGTGAAAAAAAATCTGTATATATATTTTCCAGACAGTGATGAATTCTGCGAACTCTTGTAAATTTCCAGCAATAGCTATGAGTTAAAGGTGTAAATTATAGTGTGCAAAGTAACCATTACCTTTAGAAATTGCTGATTGGGGTGTAAATCTTCGACAATATGAATCAGCGGTGTGTCGCATGGAGTGAGAAGTGATGAATCATGAACACGTCGGGTTCTGGGAAGCAAGAGGAATCATCGCAAGGTAAGGTAGCCATCTGTTGAGGTCAAGAGGAAGGAAGATATTGTAGTAGGAGTGAGAGGATGATGCGTGTTGTGTAGTTAGTGTTGAGGCGAGGCAGATGGTGGTAGCTACGCCAGGACACGTGTCCGTCATTAAGCCACTCACGGCGTCTCGCTCTTTTGGTCTCCTCCAGCACGATGTCTTGCTTCAAGCTGAACTGCCCACGACTGCCAGGCCGGTGGGTGGGTGGTATAGGGGTTTAATGTCTGTCTCTCTGTCTCTGTGTCTCTGTCTCTCTGTGTCTCTGTCTCTCTGTGTCTCTGTCTCTCTGTGTCTCTGTCTCTCTGTGTTTCTGTCTCTCTGTGTCTCTGTCTCTCTGTGTCTCTGTCTCTCTGTGTCTCTGTCTCTCTGTGTCTCTGTCTCTCTGTGTCTCTGTCTCTCTGTGTCTCTGTCTCTCTGTGTCTCTGTCTCTGTCTCTGTGTGTCTCTGTCTCTGTGTGTCTCTGTCTCTCTGTGTCTCTGTCTCTGTGTCTCTGTCTCTGTGTGTCTCTGTCTCTGTGTCTCTGTCTCTCTGTGTCTCTGTCTCTCTGTGTCTCTGTCTCTCTGTGTCTCTGTCTCTCTGTGTCTCTGTCTCTCTGTGTCTCTGTCTCTCTGTGTCTCTGTCTCTCTGTGTCTCTGTCTCTCTGTGTCTCTGTCTCTCTGTGTCTCTGTCTCTCTGTGTCTCTGTCTCTCTGTCTGTCTCTCTGTCTGTCTCTCTGTCTGTCTCTCTGTCTCGCTCGCTCTCTCTCGTTCTCTCTCGTTCTCTCTGGTTCTCTCTGGTTCTCTCTCGTTCTCTCTCGTTCTCGCTCTCGCTCTCGCTCTCGCTCTCTCTGTCTCTCTCGTTCTCTCTCTCTCGCTCTCTCTTTCTGTCTGTCTGTCTCTCTCGTTCTCTCTCTCTCTCTCGCTCTCTCTTTCTGTCTGTCTGTCTCTCTCTCTCTGTCTCTGTCTGTGTCTGTCTGTCTGTCTCTCTCTCTCTCTCTCTCTCTCTCTCTCTCTCTCTCTCTCTCTCTCTCTCTCTCTCTCTCTCTCTCTCTCTCTCTCTCTCGCATCTCCTCTCCTCTCTCTCTTTCTCTCTCATCCCCTCTCCTCTCCTCTCTTTCATCTCTCTTTGGGCGAACTCTGCAAGTATCACACATTAGTGTATTACATAGGTCTGTTAATATTCTTACATTAATATGCAAGAACAACAACTCTCTCTTAGCCCAAGACGAGTTGTGAGCTACAACAACTGAAGAAGTTGTAGTTCAGTTATTGTAGTTCACAATCCCTCTTGGGCTATGGAAAAAGCAGGTTTGACCTCTAAATAGATCTATTTAGAGCTGTGACCTCTAAATAGGTCACAGACATTTGAGAGTGAGACTGGAGGTCAGGTCGTTGGACTGTCTGGGCCAACATGTGACAGCAGACGCCAGTGTTACACGCCTCGGGACGTGTCTGGGCCAACATGTGACAGCAGACGCCAGTGTTACACGCCTCGGGACGTGTCTGGGCCAACATGTGACAGCAGACGCCAGTGTTACACGCCTCGGGACGTGTCTGGGCCAACATGTGACAGCAGACGCCAGTGTTACACGCCTCGGGACGTGTCTGGTAATGATTTTATGTTTTTTTTATGTTTAGAAATCATTTTTACACGATGTATCAGACTATTAACTTTCCGAGTGGAATTATCGCTCCACTATCTGCTTCTCAGAATTGCTTTAAACGGCAGAATTACTTCGAAAGACTATCATAAGCGTGCGAAACAGTATTCAGGGCTGGGCTATTGAGCCAGAATGCCACTGTACATGACATCATTATGAAGAGTGAACTTATAATACCCGCGTGGCAAAGTTTATTACTTAAACCGTAAGCGAGAAACCAATGAAGAGCCAGGTTAATTATTTGACATAAAAAAAGACCAGTAAATATTTAACTGTTGAACTGGACCACAAGACCACAGTGGCACCGGTGCCAGCGAGTGACGGCATAGAGACCAAAGTGTGGCACACTGTTACCTCTCCAATTTTGGCGACCACCCAACCAGCCTATGGTCGTCCAGTACCCCAGACCAATGACCCTGCAAACTTGGGTGAGAATAGCCCCAAGTGTCTGCCTTCCAGCCTTGGACAAACAGACTCACTCTCTCATAGCTATGGAGTGTGCATGTACTTAATGAATGTAATAAAGATTAGGAGTTACCATTGATGCCTGACAAGTAAAGAGCAGCACAGTAAAGTGTTCTGAGTGAGGCAGACAACGTCCACCCACCAGGGACTCCCTCACACGCTGTGGCAGCATCACCAGTCGCTTGACACTTTAGTTGTTCTTGGTTGGCTTGACATGTTTGGCTATTTTTGGGTGGGGTGGGATGCAAGGGGTGGTTGGGGGTGTGGGGAGGGGGTCTGGGTTCGAGAGATTATACGGTACGATGAGCGATAAAATATAATGAAGATTGGAGGTAATTTTGGCCCCGGTGGTGGTCGACAGTAGTGAGGAAGGAGGTTTGTGGGTGCCGGTTAAGGGGTAGTGAGTTATGCCTCCCTCAGACGCCGGCAACAGCTGGGTAAACACGACCTCCTTGCCTCTAGCTGAGGTGGGGGGGGAGGGGGTCAGGATTGAAGTGGAAGACGATGGGGGGGCAAGAGGGGGGGGGAGGAGGAGACCTCACACTGTTACAAGCCTTGATGATTATTTTAATTTAATTTTACCCCGAGGGGCGAGTTTATTGGGCAGAGCCACTCATCCTGTGAGTGGACACACCGCCATAATGACAGTATTGGCCAGCGCCACTCATCCTGTGAGTGGACACACCGCCATAGTGACAGTATTGGGCAGCGCCACTCATCCTGTGAGTGGACACACCGCCATAGTGACAGTATTGGGCAGCGCCACTCATCCTGTGAGTGGACACACCGCCATAGTGACAGTATTGGGCAGCGCCACTCATCCTGTGAGTGAACACACCGCCATAGTGACAGTATTGGGCAGCGCCACTCATCCTGTGAGTGGACACACCGCCATAGTGACAGTATTGGGCAGCGCCACTCATCCTGTGAGTGAACACACCGCCATAGTGACAGTATTGGGCAGCGCCACTCATCCTGTGAGTGGACACACCGCCATAGTGACAGTATTGGGCAGCGCCACTCATCCTGTGAGTGGACACACCGCCATAGTGACAGTATTGGGCAGCGCCACTCATCCTGTGAGTGGACACACCGCCGTAGTGACAGTATTGGGCAGCCCCACTCATCCTGTGAGTGGACACACCGCCATAGTGACAGTATTGGGCAGCGCCACTCATCCTGTGAGTGGACACACCGCCATAGCAGCATGTACAACACTCCCCAATAGGAAGAAACCCCGCTGGATTGCTCATCCTGTCACTTGTACCACAGACACAACTGGGACCTGCTTAACTGTCTCAAGTGAACAGCTCACTAAACAAGAAGATTAACCTTTCCCATGTATTTGCCATTGTATTTTATTTTATTAAGGTAATATCTCTAGTTATCAGTCATCTACTTAGTTAGAGACTCCATTTACCTTAAGCCTTAATTAAGATGAGATGATATAGTCCAGCCTTCAGGACGCCACAGAGCTGCTACAGACGTTGGTCATCGTTTATGAACCTCAAAAGCTGCTTCATGTTGTCATAAGTTCCCTCATGCATAACCCAGTGGAACTGATAGTAAAACACTCATTACTGTTTCCTCTAAGGCGAGTCTTAAATAAATCAACTTTAAGACTCGTCTTGGAGGAAAACTAGAACTAATCTACAGTGTCCACATCATTTCCGTTCTCGGTGACCCATAATTAGTAGAGATTGACTTCATTTGGTTCAGAAACATTTTGGCTGTTGACCATTGTGTAATAGTGGATGTGTTGGTGTGTGTGCCTGCGTGTGCGTGCACGTGGGCTTGTGTGCGTGCACGTGGGCTTGTGTGCGTGCACGTGGGCTTGTGTGCGTGTTGGTGTATGTAAGGGACACACCTGGTGGGTGTCAACGCCTCATGTGTCACTCATAATGTAACATATCTTCCTCTTCTCTCTCTGGTGCAGCGCGTGGCATGAGTCCTGGGGCGCCCTGCCCTGCCCTCGCCCCACCCACCATGGTGCCACCCCTCCAATGAGGCCACCATGGGACCAGCTGCTGCGGTAGCCAGCGGCGGCAGGCGGCGCGGCGGGTGGCGGTGCCGCGGGCGGTGGTGGGCGGCGGCAGTGGTGGTGGTGGCGATGGCAGTGTTCCTGCCTCACAACACCGCCGGCAACATTGACCTCTACATGACGAGCGAGGAGACCAAGCGTGTCCTGGGTGAGTACTGCACAGTAGTTGGTACTGGTGGGGGGTGGAGGGGTCTGTGGGTGGGGGTATTGGTGGGATGGGGTAAGGTTACCTTGAGGTTACCTTGATGTGCTTCCGGGGCTTAGCGTCCCCGCGGCCCGATCGTCGACCAGGCCTCCAAAGGTGGGGTTAGTTTTGGTATGGTGTTGGAATGTGTTCTGTCAGACGGGGGTTATGGGTAGTGGTGCTGGCAGAGGAGAATGCTGTTCAAGCTGGCGTAGGTAAGTTTAATATATATAATTCATTGTAATTATGTGAGGCAGAGAGGAAATGTCAGAACTCTTATATAAATAATGACTAAAATAATGATGCCAGACAGAGATCTTGGTCACGTGGACCGTCTGGTGATAAAGAGCAGGTCAGAGAGGTTGTAGGTCTCATTACGTCTAAACGAGACATCATCTAGTACACCAACGACCGTTTTAACCAGGTGTGTTGGTGTGGTTGTGATCAGGACGACTCAGGCCTCACTATGCTAGAAACCAACGGTCTTTAAGTTCCCAAGACATACAGATACTTAATAGGTGATTTAAGTAATGAAAGGAAAACAGTGATTCAACGGAAAAATTAACATAATTTCTCTAAAATATAAATGAAGAAAGAATCTAATAACATAATTACCTGTGTATTTTTGAACACAGAAAAGACACATGTTATTACAATCATTGATGTATTGATACATGTAGATACCCAACACTTGTCAACAAGATACATAACTGGATAACAAATTACACACAGAAATCACAATATGGTGATGCATCAATGAACAAATCCATAAGGGCCTTGTGGATTTCGAATCCACAATCCATGATTCCGAATCCTTCGAATCCTCGTCACGACCCTTGTGGATTTGTTCGTGGATAACAAATATTTCACACTGAGAAGTGACAGGAGGACGAATGACCACCTTCGTAACATTAACAATCCTGAACTATAATCCAACATTAAACTGGGGTAAACAGCAAAATCATTTTTCTCAGGTTAAAGTAAGCTTTGGGTAAGTTGTTGAGTGTCAGGAGTTTGGAACTATAGTACTTTCCCCTGGTAGATGACGTGGGCAAGCAGACTATTGTTGCTGAGAGGCTGCAGGTGGTCCAGCCTGTGGTGTTTCGCCTCACCACCAATGCACGAGTCCAAGCAACAAACTCAACCTTTCGAGGCCGATGCATAAAAACGTTAATAATACAGTGTTTTATTTAATACTAATACGTCGTGATTTTAACGGTTTGGTCGAGTAAATAAAAAATGCGACCTATGTGAAGACGTGTTGTGGGGAGTGTGTTGGCTGCCGGGTTTATTGTGTGACAATGTTATTCTGTTATTACTTTAATAATTATTTTATTATTGATAATTTATATAAATGACCCAGTAATGTCCCATATATCCTGTTGGGAATATTGTGTGAATAATTTTCAATTTTGTTCTCCATTTTCTGTATTTAAAAATTATCATTATTTGACCATAAACAAATAAACCAAACAAGATTCTATGTAATTAAGTCCGTTAAAAACATTGTAATCACTGAATCGCTGAACAACACATGCTCCATAAACTGCCATTGGGTAACTAAAGTAAAGAGGCTACAGTCAGTCTTGCGTTATTTTACCAGCTAATTTCTTATTGCAAGATATGAATTGTTTATACATTTAATATGACATTATTCTGTAGCACCGTGCGTGTAACATGCGGTAAATATACGGCGTGACTCTTTACCCGTGTTGGGGGGCACGTGGGGCGCCTGGGTGACTGGGCACACTGCCGCCCTAGACCTTTACAGCTACACACACAGTCACAGCTGCGGGGCTGAAAGCTAGACTCTCAGCCCATACATCTGAAAATTGAGTAAGTGACGCTCGCTTCGGTCCTTCGTGGACCATGATGACGTTGTGAGGGGAAGGTGTGTTAGTGTGTGATGCCAGACACGGGTTGATGGCTCTTACAGCTCACCACTCCTTACATTTTCTCTTATTAGAATGTCTATTAAGGAATTACTGCATATAAAGTGATATTATATAAGACCAGGACAAAGTTCGAGATACAGTACTCTGTACTGTAACTGTGAGTGTTATATATTGTTTTGTGTAATCTATTATGATGTGAATGTCCGATATACAGACTATTACACCACGCTATTATGGATTGAATACTGTACCTATAGAGGCTCCTGCAGCTTGAATGGATTGACTTGCCAGAACCCGTCCATTCTTGACAATAGGGTCAAGGAGTCATTTCTTTCTTATCCAATAGTCTGAAAATCTGGTATAAATTAGTGCCCTAGTGTAATCCAAAAATATGCGTAATTATAGTTAATTATTCATTCTCAAAATAATTACTTTGAGGTGGTTCCAGGACAGTCTTTTGAACCAGGTGGAGAGTTCTATTGACAGTCTCTGGTAGATGGAGTAGGAAACATAAACATATTTTATTATTTATTTTCGTTTGGACGAGACATTACTTTAAGGCATGTGAATATTATACAAAGTTATTTACATCAATTTAAATATTTACAAATGGTGCTTTGACCAGAGCTGGAGTAAGGTGGACCTCAGCTCCTACTTACATCATTCCTGCACGTTGGTGTGACTTATGGTCACAAACTCCTCTGGCTTTTGTGATGAAGATTAAGCCACCCAAGAGGTGGCATGGGTATGAACAGCCGGGAGCCGGTCGGCCGAACGGACAGCACGCTGGACTTGTGATCCTGTGGTCCTGGGTTCGATCCCAGGCGCCGGCGAGAAACAATGGGCAGAGTTTCTTTCACCCTATGCCCCTGTTACCTAGCAGTAAAATAGGTACCTGGGTGTTAGTCAGCTGTCACGGGCTGCTTCCTGGGGGTGGAGGCCTGGTCGAGGACCGGGCCGCGGGGACACTAAAAAAAGCCCCGAAATCATCTCAAGATAACCTCTCAAGATAGCCCGTAATGGTCTTTGTGAAGTTTAATATAATTAAGACTGCTTACTATCACCTCAGGTGCAGCCATTATCGGTAGCTGCACCCGAGACTACGACGGTAGGCCTCGTGACTTGTTTCGTAGCGAGTCGAGCATAAAGTGAGGTCAGCCACTGAAAGAATAGTCAATTACTATTACCAGACCTAATTGCGTGTATCATCTCTGGGTCTGATCCACAGTCTGTCACCATAAATTATCTCACTGGGAGTTCCTTAACTACATCTGTAGGATATTATACTTTTTACAGTGTTAAGAATCTTGTTGATCGAGATCAGATTAAACCTTTCAGTCTCTCTCTCATTACTGTGGATGAGGAGTTTCACAACATCATGTTCAGCCATATCAGCTCGGGTTAGGAAGTGGGTCGCACCCGTCTCCTCAGGGACGAGGTCTCCGGCTCCAAAGTATTAGCTATTTGACGAAAAATAAAACTCATTGGGAAGAAATGAGGCGAAAACTTTCGCATAGTTTCGTTACCTTCCACCGTGATGGTGGCAGCACAGCAGTAAGTCTCAGGGAGAGAGGGTAGGAGGGAGGGAGGGTGAGAGGAACGAAAGAAAGAGCATGGGAGGGAAGGAAAAAGATATGAGGGTAGTGTGGAGTGTGCGAGAGAGTTGTTGGTGCTCAATAAATACATAATTATGCCCTTATGAATGATAATCCGAAGAAAGAAACAAATTAATACGGAATACAAAAATACACAAGAGAACTGTAATAAACTCAACAGTGGTTAGAACTTGAGAGCGAAATGTGGGGATAGTGGATAAATAATGGAGGAGGAGGAGGAGCACTGTTGGGAGAAGAGGAGACATGGGACTAAATAGATAATTTAAAGTCAGGAGGAGAGAAACGCGGGTCATTGTTGGCGGTCGCTAGAGCTGATAGACCCATTTGTTGCATACCTCCATTATAGTACGTTCAGGAGACGAGAGGGAGAGGGGGAGGGAGAGGGAGAGGGGGAGGGAGAGGGAGAGGGGGAGGGGGAGAGAGAGAGTGAGTACAGTGTATATACAGAAGATAGAATTGAGAGGCATATCAGATTAAATAAATAGATGTACATATAAGAAAAACAAAGACATCACTTGATTCAAGGTGTGAGAAGCAGGGACTTGATCAACTCTTCGTTATAAAAAGCTACAAATGTTAGCTGGGTGTCAAGAGACATTACCTACGGCTATTTTAACATCACCGGAAGAAAAAGCCAGAGTAATAAGATTTAAACCAAAAACACTGTATGTGGTCAACAATAAAAACTTTATACTCGATAATTTCTAGATCAACGAACCAGCCGGCAGATAATCAGACATGCAGGAAGATACTGGTATGCTGGCTGGTAAGCCGTCTGGCAGCTGGCTGGTAAGCTGGCTGGCAAGCTGGCTGGCAAGCTGGCTGGCAAGCTGGCTGGCAATCTGGCTGACAGGCCACCTGACAGGCCACCTGACAGGCCACCTGACAGGCCACCTGACAGGCCACCTGACAGGCCACCTGACAGGCCACCTGGCAGGCCACCTGGCAGGCCACCTGGCAGGCCACCTGGCAGGCCACCTGGCAGGCAAAGACGTCTTGGAAGCAAGGCAGGGAGCGAGAGCCTGGCCCCTTGAACGGTGGGACACAGGAGCCTCGGGAGCAACAACACCTCACCTGACTGTCAACAATCACACATTCCGGAAGGTGGTCTCAGTCCGCCCCGCCTCTTGTTGACTTCATGTGCCCGACCTCTCCACTTTAGCCGCCAAATTTTCTTCCATTGAATGTCATTCGATAATTTTTAAGTCTTAATTCACCGGTGGACAATATCATTTGACAATGAGTGGAAAGACAGGGCTCTGATCATTGAATTAATACAGACTGCCCTTTCTCGACGAATTCAAATGAAGTTCGCGGATTATTCTAAATTTTCCCATTTTGGGGTTCGTTTCCAGTGCAAGTTGGTGATCAAAGATATACCTTGAGACGGTGGCTTTCTGCGGGTAATGTGGTGATCAAAGAGTGCTTGGTGTGACGGCGGGAGGCTGGGGAA